TTTTATTAGGCTTAGATGTTTTTTAGATAAACTGCTGTTGTTTTCCAAATAACATTGCCATTGCATACTTTTATGACCTAGTTTCTATATAGTTTGAATAACTTTTGTTAAATAATGTATATTATAATATATTGAATATTTTTTTAACACGTTAATATCCAAATTTAGTAATTATAAATGTTTCAAAAAAGAAAAACTAAAAATTACAATTATTTTATGTCCTATATTTAATAAGTCATCCATTTTCACTATAAAACTAATATTTGAAAGATTTTTACTATTTATTTGTATACTACCCTCCTACGCAGAAAAACAAAATAGCTGGTGCAACCTAAAATATATACAATGTAGTGACATGATTCATTTATATTGACCTAACTAAGTGTTTTGTAGAAACAATTTTTTTTTTTAGTTTTTGGAACTAGAAATTTATTAGGCAACTATAATAAGCGTATTTTAATTTAGCCAAACTTCTAAAAACTCAGTCCAACTAGATATGTATTTTGCCGTTATATTAACCATAGTTAGAGTGGGATCAATTTTGTATTTTTCAGAGGGTAACTTAATCCCTAACGTTTCGAGTCATTGTGTTCGAAATAAATCAGGAATATTTGAAATAATGGACAATATTTTCATACAACGATAACCAAATTTGTTTTTTGCTTATGATTTGTTTTATCAGCCTTAGGTGTTTTTTATATAGACTGCTGTTGTTTTCCAAATAACATTGCCATTGTCGTCACACCTTAATAACTCGGTTTCCAAATAGTTTGAATAACATTTGATAAAAAATGTATATTTTATTTATTTGAATGTTCTTTTAACACACTATTATCCAAGTTTAGTAATTGAAAATGCTTAAAAGAAAGAAAAATTAAAAATTAGATTTATTATAGAAATAATGGGTCCTATATTTTATGAATCATCTGTGTTCACCATAAAACATACATTTGACGTATCTTTACAATTTGTTTGTATACCAACCTCTTACGCAGAATAAATTATTAGCTGGTTTAAATCTAAAATATACTTAATGTAGAAACACGATTCATTTCTAGTTGGCTTAACTAAATGATTTGTTAGAACCACTTTTACTTAGTTTTTTGAACCAGAAATAAATTGAACCCCTACCATAAGCGTATTTAAATTTAGACCAAATTTTCAATAATGTAGTCCAACCAGAAATTATTGTACCGTTATATTAACCATAGTTTTATTTGGACCTACTTTCAAAGGGTAATTTTATTCACCATAGTTTAAAGGTTAAATAATATATTAAACTTTTTTCCTTATTGTGTTAGAAAAATATCAGGAATATTTGAAATATTGGACAATATTATATGCAAAGATAACCAAAGTTGTTTACAGCTAACGAAATATTTAATCAGCATTGGGTGTTTTTAGATAAACTGCTGTTTTTTCCAAATAACATTGCCATTTGCGTCAAATAATTATAGCTCAATTTCCATATAGTTTAAATAATATTTACTAAATAATGTATGTTATATTTATTTGACATAAATATCCGAATTAAGTAATTGTAAATGTTAAAAAAAAGGCAATATAAAAATCAGAATTAAAATAGAAAAAATAGTGTTCTTTATTTAATGAATCATCTGTAGTCGCCATAAAACATACATTTGACATATCTTTACTATTTATTTGTATACCACCCTCCTGTGCAGAATATATCATTAGTTGGTGCAAATATAAAATATAGTTAATGTAGAAACACGATTAATTTCTAATTGGCTTAACTAAATGATTTGTTAAAACCACTTTTTACTTAGTTTTTTTTAACTAGAAATATATTGAGCCCCTATAATAAGCGTATTTAAATTTAGACCAAAGTTTTAATAACTCAATTCAACTAGAAATGTATTGTGCTCTTTAAGTAACCATAGTTATAATTGGACCAACTTTGTATTTTTCAGAGGGTAAATTAATCCCCTTAATTAATTAAAGTTAAATAATAAATTTCACATTTCGATTCATTTTGTTGAAATATATCAGGAATATTTGAAATATTGGACAATATTTTCACGCAACGATTGTGTTAACCTAACCATAAGAGTATTTAAATTTAGACCAAATTTGAATATAATTGGAATAACATTTGATAAATAATATATATTATATTTATTTAAATATTTTTTTGACATAAATATCCGAATTAAGTAATTATAATTGTTGAAAAAAATTTAAAAATTATAGTTAATATCGAAAAAAAAGTGTTCTATATTTAATGAATCATCTGTATTCACCATAAAACAATAATATGATATATCTTTACTATTAATTTGTATACCACCCTCCTGCACAGAATAAATTATTAGCTGGTGCAAATATAAAGTATAATTTAAATAGAAACACGATCAATTTCTAGTTGGCTTAACTAAATGATTTTTAGAATCGATTGTACTTAGTTTTTTGAACTAGAAATATATTGTGCCCTTTTAGTCACTATAGTTGTAGTTTGACCAACTTTTTTCATAGGGTATTTTAATTATCTTAGTTTATAGGTTAAATAATATATAATATATTATGCGTATTTTAATTTAGACCAAATTTTTAAACACTCAGTCCAACTAAAATGTATTGTGCCGTTATATTAACCATAGTTAAAGTGGGACCAATTTTGTATTTTTCAGAGGGTAACTTAATCCCTAACATTTCGTTTCATTGTGTTTGAAAAATATCAGGAATATTTGAAATATTGGATAATATTTTTATGCAACGATAACCAAAGTTGTTTACAGCTAACGAATTGTTTAATCAGCCTTGGGTGTTTTTCAGATAAACTGCTGTTTTTTTCCAAAAAACATCGCTATTTGCGTCATACTTTAATAACTCGGTTTCCATATAGTTTGAATAATATTTGTTAAATAATGTATATCATATTTTTTTGACATAAACAGCTAAATTTAGTAATTGTAAATGTTTAAAAAAAAAAACTAACAATTAGAATTCTTTTAGTAAAAAAAAATGGATCCTAAATTTAATGAATCATCTGTAATCACCATTAAACATATATTTGACATATCTTTACTATTTATTTGTATACCAACCTCCTACGCAAAATATTATAATAGCTGGTGCTATTAAATGACACGATTATTTTTTTTTGACCTAACTAAATGCCTTGTTGGAACCAATATTTTTTTTAATGTTTTGAACTAGAAATGTATTGAGCCTCTAAAATAGGCGTATTTTGAATTAGACCAAATATTTAATAACTCAGTCCAACTAAAAATGAATTGTGCTCCTAGAAAAACCATAGTTCTAATAGGTTTTGAGTTTTTTCATGATAGGTATAATTACAGACCATTTTCTTTAACCCTGTTAATTCTTCAGTTACGCTTAGCCAATGTTTTTTTTATTGTACAATTACAAATATACTATATTATATACAATTGTATTATTTTGTAGTCAAAAATGTTTAAAATTTCAGTCATGATCATTAAACAAAATATATTAAATTAAAAAAATAAAAATAAGTGGAAATCAACAAATTATTTTTTTTTAGATTTGGCATAGGGGGATCTCGAACAATTTTAACTCTCTCACATATTATAACAATCTAGAAATTAACTACAGCTTTCGAAGTGCAATTTCTCCTTTTTTTTTTGGGGGGGGGAGGAGGGAATTTTCTTTAACAATAAAAAAATACATCATAAAAATCCAATACCTAATCAGCTTTGCGCCTTCTACTGCAATCGTCCAAATAAAGAACAGTGTAAACCTACAAAGTAAGAGAGTACTATATTGAGGTGCTGTATTTACAAATAAGCATCAAAGCGTTAATTTGAAAGTGATTTTATCTGAGAGGACAAGGACAGTAGAGTATAAGCATAATGGAATCAAAACATAGAGGGAGAGGACAGGAGGTCAGAGGTCTGCAGGAATTGTTGTTAATAAATTGAATAAAATGTGGAGTGTAGTATTTTTTTTATCTGCGCTCATTTCCCGACCACACATTCCCTCCAAACTTTAGTTTAAAACTCTTATAACTTTATAATTAGTTATCCGAAACTCTATGAGATATTGAGTGGTTCATGATAAAAAAATCACCCTGTATATGTCATACAAAAAATTATTATTTTGTAGTTTGCCTTCTGTTGATTTATTTCTTTTTCTACAATTTACAGATATATAGGTCTGTTTATTCAGTCTAATTTTAAGCTCTTGAGTCTAAAATGCAAAAAAATTCAATCCTTGTGGCGGGGAGGGGGTCGGGTTGCAGGACTATCGAAATTTGATTTGAGGCTATTTATGAATAGAGGCATGCCTAATAAATGTTCTAAAAAAATTGCGCTTTGATAAGACCGTTTTTCGCTAAGCTCTAGTGAGTTAAAGTCGAAAAACCGTCAAAGTACCAATCGCAAACTATTTCGGATGTATAGAGATTATACTCGAGTAAACCGTTCCAAAGGAAAAAATATGTGACCGCTCTTTAAGGTATTAGGTTTATTTTTCAAAGTTTTTCTCCAACAAAAGGTTACCGTCAAATGAGCCAACTTGGGGCATATGTGTAAAAAAATATACATTTAAATATAATATATTCGACCAATGCCCCAAATTACCCATAATGCCCTATGATGGCCCGTTTGACGGTAACAAAAGATTTTTAAGATAATTGTTTGTTTGTGTTAATGTCCCATTCTAGATATATTCTTTAGATGGGACACTATCGATAAACGTTGACAATATATGCATATATTTTGCACATGAGTAAACAGTATAATGTAGTATGTACGTAAAAAAATAACAGTAAGGAATTGCGTGTATTAAGTATGTCATACAACGCAAATAAAAATATTCAAAAGTATCTGTTGCTTAAAACAATTTGCACGGATCAACACCTACAGACATGGTACTGTTTGCATTCTTCAAGTAAATTTTCTTATATTAAGTACTGTGGTTGTTCGGAAAACCACTATTTGAATCACAGTCGTCAAGCAAGAATACAATATTCCCATAACATTATAAAATCGTCATAGGTCTCGTTTTCACAACGGCTTTTAACTGCTAAAACTAATAATTTAACATTCTGTATCCAAGTTTATCGTTTGAACACTTAAAATGTATTCGAAAATCATGATGCTATTTATTTGCATTGCATGGTACGTTTTGCAATGTCAAGGTTTTGATAGAAAACCTAATGAGAGTCAAAAAGTAAGCATAACGAGGACTTATTATTTATGATTAATAAAAAATGCTGAGATAGTTGCTTAACAATGTACAAAATGTAATGTATTGATCGAAAAGTCATTTTATGTTTTAACCCCCTCCATTTTTGCACCAGAGTTTTTAAAGAAATATTTTCCCTTATAACCAATTATTGATTACAATAACAAAACAAAATTTAACTATTATGAAATTTATGTTATAATGCTAAAAAAAATCGCAAGCCATATAATATGTTTGGTAGTTAGGCATTTTTATTTAATTAAAGAAGGATTAGTTTAATTAGCAAATTGTTATATACAAATAAATGACTAATTCTTATTCTTATAACGATAGGCATTAATACGAGTATGTACGTAAAAAAATAACAGTAAGGAATTGCGTGTATTAAGTATGTCATACAACGCAAATAAAAATATTCAAAAGTATCTGTTGCTTAAAACAAATTGCACGGATCAACACCTACAGACATGGTACTGTTTGCATTCTTCAAGTAAATTTTCTTATATTAAGTACTGTGGTTGTTCGGAAAACCACTATTTGAATCACAGTCATCAAGCAAGAATACAATATTCCCATAACATTATAAAATCGTCATATTCCGTATCCAAGTTTATCGTTTGAACACTTAAAATGTATTCGAAAATCATGATGCTATTTATTTGCATTGCATGGTACGTTTTGCAATGTCAATGTGCTGGTCAAGGCCCTAGTGAAAGTCAACTTGTAAGAATAACGAGTACTTATTATTTATTTTTAATACAAAATGCTGAGATAGTTGCTTAAAAATGTATAAAATGTAATGTATTGATTAGAAAAGTCACTTAATGTTTTAACCACCTACATTGCTGCACCGAAGAGTTTTTTAAGTAATATTTTCCCTTATAACCAATTATTGATAACAATAACAAAAAAATATACTTTAACTACTATACAATTTATGTTATAATGCTAAACAAATTCGCAAGCCATATAATATTACTGATAGTTAGGCATTTTTATTTAATTAAAGAAGGATTAGTTTAATTAGCAAATTGTTATATACAAATAAATGACTAATTCTTATTCTTATAACGATAGGCATTAATACGAGGGAAAGTCGTTAGTATGTTTCGCGCACTGAATTACTTGAGGCACGAAGACGCAAAAACTATAGCTGACCAAGTACAAGCGGAAACAGGGGCAATAGGATATTTCCTCAGCCGTAATGAATTTGAAACATTATGTGAAGGTAATAATTAATAGGATAATATTCAACAAATGTGTTAGTTAGAAAGTATTATATTGAGGTGCAGTATTTACAAATAAGCATCAAAGCGTTAATTTGTAAGTGATTTTATGACTTTTATTAATGATAATTCCTGTAGATTTGTGACCTCTCTGTCCCCTCTATGCTTTGATTCCATTATACCACGACCTACTGTACTAGTCCTTTTGGATTAAATCAATTTCAAATAAACGCTTTGACGCTAATTTGTAAACACTGCACTTCACTTTAATTTGTTTTTACCTTAATGGCTTATAATGTGATCAGTTTGGACTATACTGGTTTGAAAATACTAATCACTGATTTGCATCGAAGCGTTTATGCGAAAGTGATTTTATTACATTCAGCTGTAATAATTCCTGTAAACTTGTGACTTCCCCGTCCCCATTAAGCCCCGACCCCACTGTACTTTTGTTAAATTTAGTTGGAATGGTCGGTGATTTATGTTTCATCCGTTTGTACTCCATAATTTAAATTATAATCGCTTATACTCAATAAAAATAATATTTATGTATTATATACTTCTTCCATTAGAACAATCTCACACTAACTCTACATACTTTTTAAGTTATATTTTTCATATCTCTATTATTCTTCTATTTTACTAGATTGACAATAAACATAACAAAACGCATCTAAAAAACCTTTACATAGATCCTTAATTTGTATACTTATTTCTTGTATTTTTCTAAAGAATAATTGAGTCTCCAGCATTGAAAGTAAAAGTAAATCTTATACTATATTGGAGAAAACAATAAAATATTATCTTTACATAATATATTACTTATTAGCAAGAAAGAATTAAAGTCAGGTGCAGTGTTTATAATTTAGTATCAAAGCGTTTATTTAAAAGCGATTTTATCCTAAAGGACTAGTACAAACTATAAGACTCATATGGTACCAACTAGTACTCCTAGTACCCAGTACCAACTAGATAAAATTTGTGATTTATAGAGTTGCTATAATGATTAAAAATAAAAATATTGTAACACAATATTACAATTAATCTGATTTTTTAAGAATATATTTAAAATTTTGTTTTTTCAGATCGTCAGTATTCGAAAATAGATTGTATCTGGATCGTTAGATTTATTGTAGGTGACGATAGGGAGAAGGTAAATAAAAAACTAAAATTACTATAATACCGTTTAAAGGTTGGTTAGGTGGTTTTTCGGGGGGATGTTTAAAGTATTTAAACTTTCAATTATTCTATGTAAAATTGGTTATGAATATTCTGAGGTTTTTGCTGTTATTTGCAAAATGTGAATTATTGTTTTAGAAAATGAATCTTATGTTTGTAACATGTACATTAAAATGTTTTAATTGTAAATTTTAATACACATTTTAATGCCTGTTTTTGTTCTGATAAAAAATAGGAATATGCAGAAACATTATTTCTAAGAAATGGACATACGAATGGTATAAACTTTAATCAATTAAGTTTTATCACTCATGAAATAAGAGGAAGAGTGCATAAGGAGACATCCCTTGATAGAAAGAGCCAATTGAAATTGGATTTGACAGGTAATATACAATAGAAAATTATTTAATACATATGTTGAGAAAAATGTTCAAAAACTATTGTAATGGCATTTTAATAATAAAGTCTATCATTAATTGCACAACTATAAATTATATAATTTTTTATAAAAATGAAATGTATTATGTAATTTTACATTATTATTTTTCAATTACGAAAATATCAGATAATAATCTTTCGCAAGTGGAAAACATATTTTTTCTTAATATATTTGCTGTTGAATTGGTCTGCTTCGTTTGTTTAAAAAATGTATAATACTTTGTGTTTTTAGCATACACATATCCTATTGGGACAATAGATGATGCCATTCGTACCATTACTAGAACTTTTAGTTTTGCAGTTTTATAATAATACATGTATGTACTATGTAATACTAAATGTCACTTACAAAATTGTATTCTTGATTGGAAAATAAACCATTTTGCTCTTATATTTCGTCAGTATTTATTTTATCTAAATATATGAAAATGAATACCTGTCTGTCTGTCCATTATGCATTAGTACACCATTCATCCGATCGACATGAAACTTTGGGAAGTTGTTGAATACACTCCCGCGAAGATAACTGGCATAGTACTTTTCGAAAATTTCACCTCTAAGAAAATTTCACCTCAAACGTAATCAAATGTAAATTAATTGAATGTTTGTAATTATAATAACCCAAAATAAACTCTTGGTTTGTAACCATGGGAACCACGGTACTCGAGCAAATGGTAGATAACATATACAAATGATAAATAACATATTAGACCGCAATATTATATTAGAATACTAGTGCGTTAATCAAGAGTAAGTATTCACTAGAAAAAAACTTGAGCAATTTATGGTTATATATATCATATAAAAATATATTCTTGTTTGTCTGTCCTTTAATACATTAGTACACCGTTCGTCCGGTAAATGGTAGGTGATGATTAAAGGAACAGGCCGATTATATGTACCAAAATTCCGGGCAAGCTTTTAACGGTTGGAACGTGATCTGGGACCGGCACTGGGACCCTTGAGTAAGAGGAGGAAATAATAACCAAAAAAAAAAATGTCACAAAAACGCTGTCACGCTGTTATCTGATAAGAGATAAGATATTAGAAATGAAGGGTGGGGGAATGGGAATTATTTTACTGAGCCCTGGCAGACTAAATCTCGGGAAACGCCGGGTCCGGACAGCTTGTATATCATAAAATAATATTTAAAACCCTTAATCATTAAACAATTATATTATACTCTCCACGTATACGACGTACTTCGGCAACAATGTTGTCATCTTCTGCGCCAAAGACAGACCGAGTCTAATATTTTAAGAGAATTTACTATTTTTACACAATCATTACCCTTTAAAACTAACTGGATATTATTTAGGATATAACATCATTTCCATTAAAAAAAAATATATAAAGTCTAAAATAAATTAAAATAATCCGTTAGTCAAATAAATCCGTTTTTTAGAAGTGGTGTAAACTATTTCAATAATTTACTTTTTGGAGTGGAGTGTTGTATTGCTGTAATTTGTTGTAAACGCGTTGTTTTGAATGATATGAATCAATTACAAATATGAAAGTGATTTTATCCGAGAGGACTAGTACTGTAGAGTATAGACATAGTGGATTCAAGTCAGGTCTTAAGGAATTCATATAAAAAAAGCGATAAAATCACTTTAAAAAACATTTGATGCTTATTTGTAAATACAGCACCTCAAATTAATACTTTCTCAATTTACGGGTTTACACTGTGCTTGGTTTGGACTATACTAGCTTGAAAATATTAACTTCTGATTCGCATTTATTGAAGCGTTTATTCGAAAGTGATTTTATCACCTTCAGATTGATCACCTGTAAACCTGTGACCTCACCGTCCCCACTATGCCCAGACCCCATCATGCTCCATCCCCACTAAGCCTTGACCCCACTGTACTGGCTTTTAAGTTTTTCTATTTAAAATCATTTACAATTAATTATTTTAGAAAAAAAATGTGTCAAAAAAATATCCAAAAGAATATAATATACATTATTTAACAAATGTTCTTCAAACTATACAGAAATTGAGTTATTAAAGTATGACGCCAATGGCAATGCTATTTGGAAAACAACAGTAGTGTATCAAAAAAACACCTAAGGCTAACAAAACAATTCGTTAGCAAAAACAAGTTTGGTTAGCGTTGCATGAAATTGTCGTTCAAATATTCCTATGATGTTTTAACTGCCGGAAAACTGTGTTTTTTTACAATTTTAGGATCTAAAAGTTAAAAATTTGTCAGCTTTTAGAATTCATATGTATCCATAGCATATTAAACGAAGTAAAAATCCGGCACTTCAGTATTGCTATAATTGCCAGAAAACTGTATAAGATATTGTATATTTTAACATATACACTTTAAATCATAAAAGAACTTCATTAAATCATCACAACATTTTATGGACGTCTATTCAGAATGATACTAATTAGTTTTGATACTTGAGTACCATTTTTAGGTTTTTATTTAATTTAATTTAATTCTTTATTTAAGTATTTTTTGGCTGAGTAAAATTGAAAACTGATATTAAATTCGCAATCACCGAACCCCACAACATATAATTTGACCACTTTGAAGTCTTTTACACAAAAATCTAGAAAAATGTTTTAGCTTTGATGTGGATCAGTGATGCTATAGGTTTTACAATGAAGTGGCCTTTTTTATTATTTTGTCTGTATACACATTTACAACTTTTTTATTACTGAACCAATACCTTCGAACAGCAACTCTATACATCACATACTTAATCAACTTAAATTATAGGTTAAATAGTTTATTTAACGTATTGACCTATTGTGTTCGAAAAATATCAGAAATAATTAAAACATTGGACAATAAATTCATGCTACGATAACCAAAATTGTTTACTGCTGACGAAATGTTTTATCAGCCTAAGGTGTTTTTAGATAAACTGCTGTTGTTTTCCAAATAACATTGCCATTGTCGTCACACCTTAAAAACTCAGATTCAATATAGTTTGAATATCATTTGCTAAATAATAAATATTATATATTTTAATTGAATATTTTTTTGACACTTGTATTTCCATATTTACTAATTTTAAATGTTTAAAAAAAGAAAAACTGAAAAATACAATTTTTTTATATCCTACACAGGAAAAATATATAGTTAGTGCTATCTAAAGTATATTTAATGTAGAGACACGATTAATTTCTAGTTGGCTTAAATAAATGATTTGTGACCATAGAGTAACCATAGTTTAGTTGGACCAGCTTTGTATTTTTCAGAGCGTAACTTAATCTACCTAATTTATTGGCTAAATAATATGTTCAACATTTTGACTGATTGTGTTCGAACTATATCAAGAATATTTAAAATATTGGACAATAATTTTATGCAACGGTTACTAAAACTGTATATTTTTGACGAAATGTTTTATCAGACTTAGGTGTTTTTCAGATACACTGCTGTTGTTTTCCGAATAACGTTGCCATTTGCGTCATACTTTAATAACTCGAATTCCATATAGTTTGAATAATATTTGTTAAATAATGTACATTATATTTATTTGAAATTTGTTTTGACATAAATATCCAAATTTAGCAATTGTAAAAGTTGGAAAAAAAGCAATCTGAAAATTAGAATAAATATAGAAAAAAAATGTGTTCTTTATTTAATGAATCATCTGTATTCACCATAAAACAATAATATGATATATCTTTACTATTTATTTGTATACCACCCTCCTGCGCAGAATAAATTGTTAGCTGGTGCAAATCTAAAATATATTTAATGTAGAAACACGATTAATTTCTAGTTGGCTTAACTAAATGATTTGTAGAACCGATTGTATTCAGTTTTTTGAACTAGAAACATATTGAGCCCCCATAATAAGCGTTTTTTAATTTGGATCAAATTTTTAATAACTCAGTCCAACTAGAAATGTATTGTGCCGTTATATTAACCATAGTTTTAATTTGACCAACGGGGGCATGGTAAGAGCCTGCTCGTGGCGCCCTGCATAGTTGTCTGACCTAACCTCTAGATCAGATTAACGAACTAATCTTACCAACACCGGTGCGAATTATGCCAATACCACTAAAACGGTCCTTTTCAGGACCAACCCCTGCTCTAACTATACTTTCCCAGAATATTGAGCGTTTTTCAACATATAAAGGAGAGCTTCTAGCTATCCTTTGTGCTAAGAATGACTGCGATATACTTTGTGTACAGGAAACGCACCGAGACAGGGCCAGCTCACGGCCAAAAATACCGGGAATGATATTAATCAAAGAGATACCTAGTGAAACATACGGAAGTGCGGTCTTTTCAAAACCTGGATTGATCATAGAAAGTGCAGAACACTGTAATAAAGGAAATATCAAAAAACAGTAAAAAAGCTGGGGGACTTATAAAGAAATTAAACGGAGATCAGACGGTACAAACGTCCTGCATAAATGTTAAAGCAAATCAAGTAGCCTCAGAATTACTTCGTAATGGGAAACCAAATACTAAAATCAAAAAAAGGAAGATCAGGAGGAATAAAGATATAGAATGTCGTAACATCCAAGATGATTTTACGATAGAGGAGCTAAGTAACAGTTTACGAGAAATGAAGAACGGAAAAGCGGCAGGATTTGACGAAATCACTACAGAACAAATTAAACATTTCGGAATCGAAACTAGAAATTGGCTTCTCAAACTACTAAACGGTTGCCTACGAAATAAATCTGTACCAAAAATGTGGAGGAAGGCTAAAGTAGTGGTACTGCCTAAACCGGGCAAAGATTTAAGCAATCCGAAAAGCTATAGACCTATATCTCTATTATGCCACACTTACAAACTTTACGAAAAAATGATCCTAAATCGTATCAAAACGCAGATCGACCAACAAATAATTCCAGAACAAGCCGGCTTTAGACCAGGAAAAACGTGCACGGGCCAAATCTTAAACCTTTGCCAACACATAGAAGACGGCTTTGAAAATAAAGAAAACAGTAGAGTGGGGTCGGGGCAAAGTGGGGATGGAGCAAAGTTGGATCGGGGCACAGTGGGTGCGGGAATGTCACAGGTTTACAGGAATTTTTAAATCTGAAAGTGATAAAATCACTTTCGAATAAACGCTTCGATGCAAATCGGTAGTTAGTATTTTCAAGCCAGTACAGTCCAAACCAAGCACAGTATAAACCAGCAAAGTTAGAAAGTATTAAATTGAGGTGCTGTATTTACAAATAAGCATCAAAGCGTTAATTTAAAAGTGATTTTATTAAATTTTATCACTTTTATTTATAATAATTCCTATCGACCTGTGACCTCTCCGTCCCCTCGTTGATTTGATTTCTTTATGCCTATACTCTACTGTACTAGTCTTCTGGGATAAAATCACTTTTAAATTAACGCTTGGTTTGGACTGTACTGGCTTGAAAATACTAACTACCGATTTGCATCGAAGCGTTTTGTC